CATAGTTATTTAATTTTTGGAATTTATAAATTTCCTAAACAGAAAATTTATATCCAAAAATTCTTAACTCCCCTGACACTCTCCCTCCCTTCCTCCCAACTAAGAGCCAGTGTTAGTGACCTTACGGTAAGTCTTGAAAAAGTGATTTTATTGTCTGCATACAGTGCTTATATACAGTACCTGCATAGAGGGCCGGCATAAAGCTTTGCAAATTAGATATTGCCGAGGGCAGTCGAGTGGGGTATATAAAGACTGGAGGAAGCGAACACAATGTTAGATGTCAAAGATGAAGATCAAGAAATAGCTATTAGTGTCAGCAAAGGTAAGTATGTTTGGAAATACATTTTCAGTTTAGGAAAATGATAATTAACAGAAATAATAAAAGAATTGTAATGAATATCTGTTTAATGAAATGGTTACTTGAAAATGAGGATAAAGTAATTCATATAACCATTTACAGTGAACTTAGTTTTTTCAATGAGCTAAGGATTTATTTCATAAGATAGTACTTATAAGGGCTGGATCTTTGAATATGATTCTTTCAGGGTTAAATATAGTGAAATAATTCTTAATTTCATTGAGTATTACTTTAAGCATTAATTTTCTAAAGTTGTTCTAGTAATTGTGTAGTTTTTTATGTAAACACCTGATATAGCTGACAGAAGTTAACAGAATAATTCAATGGGGTACTAAGTCGGTTTACCTTTTGCTTGTGAGATAGTGTTTAGTATTTGTGGATTTTTGAAAAATATTAATTAAAGATTTACATTTTTACCACACCAGCTTATTCATTTAGAAGTGAAGCCAGCAATTAGAACACAGATTTTACGAGAATTGAAAGTGCTGCACGATTGTAACTCACCTCACATTGTTGGATCATATGGAGCTTTTTATAGTGATGGAGAAATTAACATCTGTATGGAGTATATGGTAAATACTTTAAATATTGTATTATGGGTCTAAATTGCCTGTTACTCTATAAAATATACAAGTAACGTTTGTCTCTCTCTCTCTTTTTTTTAAAAATAAAAAATATATACTCCTCTGTGGTTTGTAAACTGAGATTGAAACTCTTTTTTTAAATTAAAATTCAACAAATATATTGTATTAGGAGGTAGTTTTTGTTTTTCGGGTTTATAATTGGTTTCATTGATGATAGTGTACAGTGAGCCCGGCATGGCCAGGTGGGTAAGACGCTCGACTCGCAATCTGCGGGTCGCGGGCTCACGCCCCCCCATCCCACCAAACATGCTTGCCCTTTTAGCCGTGGGGGCGTTATAATGTGACGGTCAATCCCACTATTCGTTGGTAAAAGAGTAGCCCAAGAGTTGGCAGTGGGTGGTGATGACTAGCAGCCTTCCCTCTAAATTAGGGGATGGTTGGCGTCAGGAAGGGCATCCGGCCGTAAAAACCCTGCCAAAACCAAAAATAGCGACTCCGTATAGATACGGGAAAAAAGCTACGGAAGAAGAAGAAGATGATAGTGTACAGTAATAGTAAACTTGATATGTAGGTGCAACAGCACTGGGAAAGTATAACAATAAAAAATAATTCCATTTATATACCACTGAAACAAATTTGTCTTAAGTAAATTAAAAAGCATGGTTCAAATATCAAAAGAGAGAGAACCTTATATTAAAGTTTGTATTTAAAGATGTATAAAATGCAAGCAAAAAAAAAGAAACAGAAAAAAATTTCAACTGTTTTTCATCAATATTGTGATATAGTGTACTTAAACATGTCAGATTTGTGCTGTAATTCTAATTGCAAAATCAAGGAGTGGGCAGTGATTTCTGAAATTTGTTTGTTATAATGGAAATACAGTGTACCCAATTTTTGACTTTGGTATAAGCAAATTTGGTAATGAGGAGACTTATTACAATGCTGGGTGATGGGAAATATAGTGTTCTTTATTGATACCTTATAACAACTTAACTTTTGATCAGGTAATGATAGTAAAAGATATTGGTCACATTAGGATTTGCAGCATTTACACAAACTTGTATTATGGTGTTAATATTAAGCATTTAGATTAATAAATCTTGTTTGGAAATATACTGTTGATTTCAACAAATGTTATAGGAATTTATAGCCTAATTTTGTTCTTGTTGAGTATAGGATGGAGGCTCACTTGATTTGGTGTTAAAAAAAGCTGGTAGGATTCCAGAACAAATTCTAGGAAAAGTAACTATTGCTGTAAGTGGACTTTATATTTTATTTTAACAGTAAATAGAGTGCCATCTGTCATAACTATATATTATGCCTCAGTACTTGTTTGTTGTTTTTAAACCTAAATAATTTTAAGTGTAACTAAAGAAAAGCTAAGGGTACCTATTAAAGAAGCAAACACTTTATAAAGGACAATGTTAGATAATGTTTCCCTTACTTCTTTCTTTTGTTATTAAATCCCTAATGACATACCCTGCTTTGTAGAAGTTAATAATTGATTTTATTAACTGATTAAGTACTTGCGTCTATTAAAAAAGTGTAAATATTCTCTATTTCAAGGTGATTTTTTTTGTCCTACTTCTCAGGCAATAATCATAAACCAAAATGGCCCATGTACACAATATAAAAAGTTAAAATAATTGAACCAGCCAACTATAGGTGATGCAAGCCAAAAGTCTACAAAAAAAAGTCCATGTGCCCCATTTCAGGGTATTTTTTATCCCCTCCTCACGTAAAAGTCCTAAAACAAAATAGTCCACTTACACAGTCAGACAGTTTCCATCTATCTTACCAAAAATTACGATAATCAAGCCATCCATCTGAGTGATGAATGCTAACCTAGACACACACACAAACATACACACACACACACACACACATAATGGGTCATCTTAATAGTAAGATACAACTGTCTTTGTAGGCCACAAAATATTTACTATTAATGCTGTAGCCATCAGTTTATTTAGTATCAAACTGGTATAAATTTCTGTTGTTAAATTTTTATCTATAAATGCCAAAAAATGTTGTTTGATTTGACTAATTTGGGTAAATTTATTTTGATGCCTTGTTTTCAAAACCTAAAATTAAACTACACACAAAAACAGAACTCGGTTCATGTAAGGGTAGAGTCAGCATTATTTTAAAACATATACAGAAGGTTGAATACAGTATATCAGAATACAGTTCGTTAGACAACTACAGCTGATACAATGTTGTATTAGGATGCTACATATTATTTGGTATTTTGTAGATAGTGTGATGACACCAAACATTGATTGCTTTTGCAAAGGGTATGTAACAGCCCTTTCTGACACAAAATATTCATACACTCAAATCATAAAGATGTGTTTAGATTGGGGATTTATAATTTTCAAGAGTGGGATATCCCTTGTCTTAACTTAATGGTTACAGGTAGGTCCATGTATATGTCACGAAATTTTAAGCAATCTTACTATCAATGTATACCAATGAAATTGTCATTAAAATTGAAATTATAGTTCAAAGTTGTATATTACCTAAGCTTTAATTCCTTTTTCAAAAGAAACTTAAAGAAAATTTCTTAAACTTCAGTTTGATGCACAACTTCAGTTAGTTACTTACAAAGTTTTAAAGTTTGGACTTTGTATTTTGAGAATGACTTGACTATACTAAACCTTCCATATACAGAAAGAATATAGGTTAATTGCTCTGTTTACACATTCTTCTTTCAAGTTCCTTAGGGTATGTTTGGAGGAAAGATAAGTAAATTTTTAGAAACTCTTGATGGATGTCATGCCCACTCTCTACCCATACAATTTGATTTATCAGTCAATTATACTTAGTTGAGCTAGATGTTTGTAACCAATAGAAAGATCACATTTTGAAATACTTTTTCCCAACAGCTATTTTAAAATTGGTGCGAAGAATTCCATTCAGAACTTTTCAAACGCTCTTATCATTGTTGCTGCTTGTGTCCTCGCTAGTGCTTTAGCATTAATTCTGACCTATAAGTATGTTAATTAGATAGACAATTAAATTTTATTTAGGTTTTAGTTTTATATCTTAGGTAATTTGTGTTAGTTATCATTTAAAATGCATTTTAGAAAGGTTTAATTATTTTTCAAAATATAAGCCAGATTGCCTCAGTTTATCAGGCTTAGTGTAGTAGGCAAATGTCCCAATGTTCTGATGATAGCTAAAGTGTCGTTGCCAAGAATACCCGTTGATGTGTGTTGCAATAGGTAGTAATACTAAAGGATGAGAAAGGAAAATAAAACATCAAAAATGAACTTTTTCTGAAAAAGTAAAAACTTACAATTAAGAATAAAAACTAAAAAGATTTTCAAGATTATTTGATGAAATATTAAAAGGTATGTACATTTTTTCTGTTTTTAATTTTAAACATTTCATTGCACAGTACATTAATGATAATACTTGAAATATTCAGAGTCTGAATATAAGTAACTACAATACAAAAATAACAAATCTACTCCAAATACTTAATTAAAACAATCTCATTCTTTGTGTACAAAATACTTGTAATGTTCAACAAAATCTTACCAATTTTTATCAAGATACATTAAGAAAGCTGTGTATCATGCCTAATGGACCTACCTGTAATTATTGAGTTAATGACATTGACAAAGAAAGGAGTATGGTTGAACTTGAGGAACCAAGACTATCTAGAATGAGACCTGCAATAAGTTATATCTGGGCCATATAAGCAAAGTGCAACATCTTATAACGTATGAAAATTCACAAACATAAAGGTCAATGGCAAAAGCCATCCACATGTTCCATGCAACATATCCCTAAAAACATCTCCAGAAAAGCAACACTTTTACCACATATAGATGCTGTTTCCACAGGATATTTATTCAACTGTCATACATCTTAAGCGTCTAGAGAATAAAATGGGTATTTGTGCTATTCCGTACAAAAACGTACTGGTCAAGTGGTCAAACACAAACCCTGTTAATTTCTGTGTGACCAGACCAAACAGATTATGGAAGGCTTGCAGCAAAGGAGTGCTGTTCTTTGGACATGACAGCCTTACAGCTAAGCCTTTTGAACTGGAACTAGGGCTCTTGTCAGATAGAGCATAACTGGATGTGGTGACATGGACTGTAACAATGTGGTGAGGCAACAAGATCATTTTAGTATAACTTACTCAACCTCAGTATTGTTTTTGCAGAATCATACATAGTGTTGAACAAAAGTGCAGTATAACTTGTTTTCAGTCACATAAAAGAAAAAGGGCCAAGCTAGGACTAACATTTTCATCCATAAGCAGTGGCATTTCATTCTTCTTATTGATAAATTAACTGCAGTGCATGATTCTATAATGCTAGAGATGAAAATGATGTCTAAATTCATTATTGTAAGTAAAGAATTTAGAGTAATGTCATTACTTTGTGTTTTGTAAGTTAGTTAGCTAAGTAGTCATTTGAAACTTTTGAAATATTTGCTTTTTAATGCATTTTGTTTGGAAGGGAATTTTTTATAGAAATTGGCAAAGCATATTATTGGCAGAAGCTATGTTTTTTTAAATCATGTTAAATATATTGTACTCTTTATAATTATATTTTGTTTTAAAGTGAACAGTGTTTAATATATATATATATATATATATATATATAAAGAATTCCCACCCAAAATATTTGGTGGAACTTAACTTTTAGGTTTTTTTTTTACATTTTCATTAATTTCAGAGTATGACTGCTGTGTTATTAGAATTGTGAACAGTAAAATAACACATTTGACAGAAGAACAACTTGCAATCTTTTTAGCACACTGTTTTAAGTTGCACTTCTTCTAGGTATATATATTTTTTGGAAACCAACATGTGAAATTATAAATATTGGCTTGTATATTATAACACTTTAGTTCAGTTTTATTTTGTCTACAGATTTAGAGGTGGGTTTAAAAAGAGAAAAAAAAGATGGGTATTTTTTCGCAAACCTTTTATGTATGGTCATTCACAGATTTATTAGAAGTCAGAGTAATCTATCAGTAAGAAGAAGAAAAAATTATTCTTGACTAGTCAAAGTAACAAGTGTGCTTTAGACTATTAGCACTTATGAACAATGGTAATTCTGTAAATTTTGTGTATACAGGTATGATTAAAGCTGACCTTGTGATACCGTAGAGATATACATATTGTTTACAATAAAATTTCCCTGTTTTTTGTTTTGCATTAGGCGCACATTGACTCTTTATTTCAATATAAGATGGGTATAATCCCTTCTGTAATGTACAAGTTTTTTAATTAAATTTCATATCATTTATTGTGTAGACTTATTATATTTTTTTGTGTCTGGTTCCTGTAGGTACTTAAAGGCCTGATTTATTTGCGAGAAAAACATCAGATTATGCATCGAGGTAGGATGTGTTTTGTAAATAATAATTTCATTCTAACTTTTCTGCTAATGCTCTCATGTGGGAGAATGACATATTTTGGCAATCATGCACTTTTCTTTTACATTTGAAGATTAGTTTTTGATATCATTTCAATTTTCTAAGAGTAATGTTTCATGAGCTAAGTTTTTAACAGAATTACTTAAGTTTTAAAAAAACTGTCATCCTACCAAAAGTTAAGTTCACTGATTTGCCCACTGTCATCCTTATTATTTAAAGCATAATACATATAGAAAGCTTTGTGCATGGTTTATACAAATGTATTTAGTGTAAATTCTACTGATGTGCATAACTTATTATGAGCTAACTTAGATGGAAAAAAGTTGTTCTAAACTTCAGTGTAACTATATGGGAATATATCAATAGCTTTGATCATATTGACCAAATGTTCATATAAGTTTACATGTATGATATTCAGGTAAAAATGTCAAAAGCATGTGTCAAAAATCTTGGTTGCTCAAATGGAGCTATGAGTGGTAGGAAAAATGTTAAGCAATTTTTTTATTGCAACTTTGATTCAAGTAGGAACCTCATAACTTTTTAACCTAAACTATTCATTACGTATGAAAGAAAATACACACAAATTTTTGGTTATAACTTGAAATGTAGCTATATTTCAATCAAAATGTTTGTATTCTTTGTCATGGAAACAAATGATCAACTTTCTGATGAAAAGTGTCAGCAGTTTCTTTTGCTGCCGTAGAAAGTACTTTATTTTGATGTATACATTTTGAAATTCAGCAGTTTTCTGTAAGTTATTGTGTGGATATGCACTTATAATGATATTTATGGAAAAGGACAGAGAATGGAAATATGAAATCATTTGTAAGGAGAAAAAAATCATGCACTGAGAGTTGTATAGGGCATGAAGAATCTATACAAGCCTTGGAAATTTGATTCTTGATTAGTTGACATTTAGTTTAACATTAAGTAGTTGGCAAATTAAATGAAAATCTGCAGTAACAAGTAGTAAAAACAAGATCGATATGCCATGTACTATTTCACCAGTATTAACTTGGCATTATCAGGCGACACAAATTCAGGGAAGTTCAAGAAAAACAATACAATATGCAGAAGTCAGACGTGAAAAAATCAGCATATGATTAACACTGAGCTGCCCTTGACTCTTATCCTTTAAGTTGGCACAACATACATTTCCACACATTTAAAGTCTGTACATCAGTTCCAAGAACTGTTGTTCATATGATTAAGACTAAGCTGACCTTGACTCTTATCCTCTTTAAGTTGGCACAACATACATTTCCACACATTTAAAGTCTGTACATCAGTTCCAAGAACTGTTGTTCATATGTTTAAGACTGAGCTGACCTTGACTCTTATTCTCTTTAAGTTGGCACAACATACATTTCCACACATTTAAAGTCTGTACATCAGTTTCAAGAACTGTTGTTCATATGATTAAGACTGAGACTATTATCCTCTTTAAGTTGGCACAACATACATTTCCACACATTTAAAGTCTGTACATCAATTCCAAGAACTGTTGTTTTATACTTGTAGCAGCAAAATTGGCAATTTACTTATAGGAAAATACTGTGGTGATAATTAGTTATTGAAATTATCATTGAAGATACGAAATATTTTATCCTTGTTTTGCTTGTACACTGTTACAACTTGTTATTCATATAAAATTACTATGGAAAAAATATTTAATCACTGAGTAAGTTTGAAATATCTTTGATTGTAAAAAAAATCACTGCAGTAGGTTATAATGCATATGTATTTATTTAAGTGAACCCAAATAGGTGAACTTAAAGAAAGTATAAAAAATAGACTAGGGTAGGTGATTAATTAGTTTCAAATTAATCAAGCTTAATTTAAGCTCTGGCAGAATTACTTTTTACTTTAAGATTTACTCAATGAACACTGTTACTGGTATCTTCCAAAGATGGGCAACTGTATTTCATCAAATTTGGTTTGTTGCACTAAATTCAGTCCTTATTGATGTCTCAAATTAGGTAAGGTGAGTTGGTTGTATCATTAAATATTTTAGGTATCTGTCATCGGTTTTATATTTGTATAATATCTGAACATTTGGTGTTATTCACAGGAAAAATATTATAAGAGTATTTTTCATATGACAACACAATGTGTTTTGATTTGTAGTTGTACTTACCATTTTCAGTTTTTAAAAAGTGTTGTATAAGTTGTCTAATCAAGTATAATCCTCGGGTAAACTGGAACAAGAGTCATATTTGATGTCGTAGGGGAAGAGAACCTGTAAAACAGTTATGCATTGTTGTTTGAGTATAGTGATTGATTATATCAATAATTCAATGTGTAAAGGAGAATAAATGAAAGCCATTGTGGAATAAAGTAGAGTGCATGGGTGTTTGTTTAGTGAGTTTTTTTTATAATATACCAGGTTTCTTTGATTTTCATTGATGCAGGGCTGGTTTCATTGTTTAGAATTTTTTAATGACTGCTATTGATTTCATATTTTGTGATAATGGAATGCTTGTAAATATGAAAGGGATTGATTTTTCTTCCTATTTTTCATACGTAGTTTACTTAACAATTCAAACATGTAATTTTGTAAATCCAACTGGAGGGGTCACTTCCATTCTTGATATTTTTGTGATAAGATATTGGCTAGCTTAGTTCTGGTACATTGTTGTTAAGTTGAAATTTCTTGTAAATTCTCCAGATGTTGTGATTATTTCCTTTTTTTAAGACTGGAGTAATATGATAAGATGGAAACAGTGGTGATTATGTTTATTAATTAATTTCTTCTCTGAGACATTGTTTTGAAAGTTATGGTTATTTGTGGTTTTAGGGGAGGAATTTGTTGATAGTTGATGTTCAAGAGGTGAATATAGGCTAGGGAAGTGTCATTGTTTAGTACTGGGGTGTTATGTATGAGAGATTCAAAAATACCTGTTTTTGTTTCTTCAATTGAGCATAATTCCAATTGATATATAAGTTAATTTCTGATAAATATAGGTAGTGAAATAGTTTTACTCCTTCATAATCCTTAGGTTTAAAAATGGCATGCATCCATTGTTTTCCATTTCCACAGTGAACTTGATGGAAGGATTGATCATATTAAGAAGTTCTAAAAAAGAATTCAGAAGTGTCAGAGTTTTTAAGATTGTCAAACCCTGCAACAATGTCATCCACATGTCAGTATCAGAATTTTGTTGCATATAGAAAGCTGTGAACTACAGTGGTTTGTTATGGAAATCATGAACAGATTTGTCAGAATCTGTGAAAATAGTTTCCCACACTGAACCTGTTTACTTGTTTGAAACTTAGGTTGTTGAATTGAAAACGTATTCTTAAGGTCATAAAGAGTGTGGGTTCATGAATAGATAGGGTTGAGCAGCCCTGCTAGTAAATATTCAGAGTAACATAAACTGCTTTGTATACAGGGATGTAGGTGGCCAGTTAGTTTTTTTTCTAAGTAAAGTGAGTTTTTTTAGGTAGGATTCAACTTCAGTCAGATTCTTATTGAACAGCCTGGGTCGTAGTTCTAGACTAGGTCCAAGTGTATCTGTTTCTTTGTGTACTTTTGGTAAACCATTTAGCTTGTTAGTTCTAATTTTTTATTACAGATTTTCAGCAATATAGTTGTTGATCACATTGAATGTTTTCAGGTTTTATATGAATTTGTTTAATTACCTTTTTTCTCACATAGTTGAGATCTTTGGGGATTTGTGTAAATTTTGATTTGTCGTTTAGAATTCGCATCATTCTATTTGTATATTCATTTTTATCGAGGGTTGCCTTTATCAGATTTCAAGCTTATTATGTCTTGGTTTGGTGTTAGTTTGGCAGTATCTTTGTTTTCTTGAGTGTTGACTTTAATTTTGGACTTTGGTTGTTTAGAAAGTCTATTTAGGGTCTGCTGTTCTTTTATATACTCGGAAATAATTGTGTTTTATAAAATGAAGCATATAGCAAGCCACCACACAAAACTGTAATGATGATTATAAATACATGAATTTTAGTCATTCAATGAAAAAACAACAATTGTTAAACAATTGCTTGTAAGATATGTTTCATATTGAGAGCTCACTCAAGCATTGTATTTAAACAAATTACTTCATGAAGTTAATTTGACTTCTGATCTTCCATATCTTGTTGAACTTATTTAAAGAAGACCAAAAGCAAACTGCTGTGAAGTTTGGATTATTATTACAATACATTTTAAAACTTGCATTTTGCTGTGTAGTTGACAAGCATGTTCAGGGTTATATAGAAATTCATCATGCAACATCACAGAAAGTGCCATTGTTTGTTTTATAGGCTGCACCCACCTACAACCCTTGGGTGTTATTTGATTAAAATCACTGTCACTTTATGGAGAACCAGCTGCATCCTCACTCTCAGATGAGTGTTATGAACCTTTTGGTTTCAAGAATGTCAGTTTTTTATATAGGCTGCACCCACCTACAACCCTTGGGTGTTATTTGATTAAAATCACTGTCACTTTATGGAGAACCAGCTGCATCCTCACTCTCAGATGAGTGTTATGAACCTTTTGGTTTTAAAAAAACTGAAGTGATAAACAGAAAGGTTTTATCTGTTATAGATAACATGACCCCATTCGCAAGACAAAATATAAGTACCAGTTTCCAAATCAAATCTATCTATGATTTATTGATATTGGTATGCATTTGTAAGTTTATCCAAGCCTCGTGTTAAACGACATTTTACTTTTCAGACCATTTAATTATTCAAATCAAAGTAACTTAATATAAGTACGAGTGAATATGTAACATACTTTGAGACTTAATACTTTTTTATATGAACATTAACTGTTAAATTTTTATTTTTTTAAGCTTTTTTTTTTGGCAATTATCTTATGAGGTTTGTTCTCAATACTTACTCCTGTTCCTCAAACAAGACTTAGTCAATCTAAATTTTATAATTTATAATTGGCTTTAGTTGCAATACATAGTGCGTATGGAGGGCTTTACAAAATATTTTTGTAGTCTGTCTCATTTTATTCAGTTATGTTGGAGTTGTTAATTTTTTATTAAATGTTTGTATAAAGTAATGAGTTACTTACACTTCTAACATAATTTAATCTTAACTGAATTTAAATATTGTTGGTCAATGAAATATGGCATTAGAGTAGAATTTGAGTTTATGTTCCTACAAGCCTTATAAGTACTGACATTGTGTGGAAGCTGTCACAAATACATGACTTCTAGTGTTAAAAAGTAGCTCCAAAGTTGATGTGTTTTTAATACATTTTTATCATTAAAGTAATATTAAATTTTAAAGCTACTTATATCATCGTCAAATTTAATTTATATTTTTATATTCAAATTAGTTATTGTTATTCCCAGAATTACACAGACACTGATCAGTATCTTAAAAGCAGTTATTTGAATGTCTAACTGTATTATTTGCTCTTCAATGTGCAGATGTCAAGCCATCAAATATTCTTGTAAACTCAAGAGGAGAGATCAAGATTTGTGATTTTGGTGTTAGTGGTCAACTAATAGACTCCATGGCCAACTCTTTCGTTGGAACACGGTCATACATGTCGGTATGTTAGTATTATAATCAAAAAGCGTTATGATAAAATATCTTTATAATTGCAGACATGTGGGATGTAAAATGTCCAACCATTTTTACATATACTAATGTATTTCATTGTTGTGCTACAACACACGAGATTGAGTTTTACAGTTATAAGGTATATAAATTACCACAAGAACACGTATGTTTTGACACAGTTTGAAGGAAGTTTTTTTTTGTTGTTTACATGTACACAAACGTATACCTTTGAACACCAGCTTCTTGACAGAAACTAAATGTTGTTTATTATATAAACAATACTACATAAACAAAAATATATATATATATATATATAGTAAGTTGTATTTCATTCTTTTCTTAATGTTAGTTTCATTAATAGTGTTGGTTAAATATTTAATAATTTATACAATATTTCTATTTTTATTATTTCTCATTTGTTGTACTGGCTTATTTTGCTTTGTTAGCTTAGTATATGGGTTTAGGACTAATCTAAACTGCCTAAGCAGATAGCTTTACTAGACCAGAAGTTATTGATAATTAGACTTAGTTGAAGGACTGATGATTAGACAATGTTTAGATTCATTTCCTTATATCTTCATTGAGTTGTCTAATTACTATTTCTCCAAGCAGGTCAACATCTATAAAGTATACAATGTATGCTAAGTACATATTTTAAACAAACAGTTTATTGAAAGTTATTATCAACATAGAAACATGGACAGCTCACATTTAGAACAATTGTTTAATGACAGAATTTCATTAAAATGTACCACAATATGCACAGTTCATTGTGTATTTTTCACATCAGGTCAGTTTATTTTAATTTATGCATAAACCATTATTTCAACACTTAAAAATAGGATCTATGTAAAAAGTAAAGTTATTAGATGATTCAGGGTATGATATTAATACACATAGTAGAACATGAAAACACACTTGCTTTGTTTAAGTACCCTGAGTGTTACTTGAGGCATGAGAGACAGTTATTGTAGTTCATTGTATAACTGAGCTTGCAGACAACTGATATGAGATTTTATTATTGTTAATTCAAATTAATCTAAATTAATACATTACATATTTATTAACACATGTATAACTTTATATATGAATATAAGGTTATTAGTACAAGATTTTTTTCATTTTAGTACATTTACATAATGCTTTATGAAAATGTAGTTGTAGAATATATGTTGCTCTCACAATAATATTATTTTTATTTGCACTCTAGCCTGAAAGACTTCAAGGTACCCATTATACAGTTCAGTCAGATATCTGGAGTCTTGGGCTTTCATTGGTGGAGATGGCTCTGGGCAAGTACCCTATTCCTCCCCCTAGTCCTAAAGAACTAGTGGCCATATTTGGCCCAAAATATTCCCCTGCTGCTGATTTGGAGGGACAGTCTCCATCTCCGAATTCAAAGAGTAGACCAAGTAAGTGTCTGGTACAAACTATTACTCTGTTTATGATTGCTGATTCAAATGTACCTTCTGTTAATATATACTAAATTTTTGTGGTCTAGTTCAAAGAATGATCTGATTCTGTTTGTCTCAATTACATAATCCCTAAAGCTAATTGTATTTCTTTAACTTAAAAAAGTTAGCCTTTTTTGTCTTATTATAGAATATTTTTGAATTTAAGTCTGTATCTCTTCCTTAATTATGCTGGCTTTCACGATGTGGAATTTTCAGAACACTTGCAAAGCCTGACAAGTATTTTCAGAATGTCAAAATTAAACTTTTTTTACTTATTACTAGTGACTAATTTTGTTGATACCTGTGTGTCTTCACAACTAACTTATTTTCTACATAAATCATATCCATGAACACTTTGAATGCATTAAAGATAAAACAACTTAACTATTTAATGTTAATAATTAGTATATTCTATACAGTATATTTTTGTTTCTCTTTTGTAAGAAACATCAATGCATATATCTTGTAGTTTGTGGAATGAAAAAAGTGTTTCAATATGTTTAACTCTCTCCACACGGGCTCGAACAATTTGATCGACCATGTGACTTCAATGTACTCAATTAAAGTCTTTATAGATTTAATACTTCTAACTTTCAATATAGTATGTATATCTTTACAAAATTTAGCAGTCTTTCAGTTAACATTATAAGTCTTTTACGTACAAAAAATCATATTTTTTAGTGAAGTATTTTTAATAAATT